TTTGAATGTAAATCGTTGGATTGCGCTATTTATACATGGACTGAGAATGAAATAGCGCCGTCGAAGGAGTAAACAACGCGATCAAAGGAGCAAATACGAGATGCGAAAGTGGGACGCGCGTTAAAGTTTTGACATTTGACCGAAAAACAGATGATAAACCAAAGAAAACAGAATACAATACAAATATTTGTCGACAATGCATGTATTCCAACTGTTTATGAATGAAAAATTAAGTACCATCAATCTTATAGCAACGTAATATAAATGATGGCATCGATCTTTTGTATGAAATTGAAATAAATTATATTTTATTATACAAATACATCGATGACATTAATGAAAAATTGCAACTTTCCGAGCGTGGATTATATTATCTCTTTTGTATAATAATTTTATATGATCACATTTCTTTGTTGTATAATAATTGTATATGATCACATTTCTTTTTTTGTATAATAATTTTATATTTACTATTTGTCTACATTTGTTGCTGAAAATATATTGATAAAATAGATTTTAAATATTGGAAAAAAACTGTAATTATATATATATAAACGTATAAAATTACAAAAAATAATATATGTAAAATAAAAATAAAATTTTGAATATTTCCCTCTCAAGCTTCTTTATATAAAAAAAAATTATAAAAAATAGCATACATGGAGTAAAGTAAAATTTTGAATAATTCCCTCAAGCTTCTTTAATATTAAACATTTTTTCTGATTTAAAAGAGAGATTTAAGGTTAAACATTATTCTCTTGCTGTTACATTTAATTCATTGTTACAGCACCAGATTCGAAAGTCGCTTATTTATAGTCATATTATAACTGTAATATTTAATATGTAATATTTTACATATAAATAATATAATCAAAATATGCAATATTATATATATTACTCTTTCATTGTTGCGTTAGCATTGTGCTTGGAGAAAAATTATCCAACGCCTATATGCGAAATGCTTCGAAGAAAATCCCGCTGTTATTTTCGCACTGTTAACAGCAGGATCGACTTTCTATAAACCAATAGCGATCGCTATACGATTTGACGGAATGTTTCCTTCCTTCCTGAATCTCGACATTGCCAAATTCCCGTCCCAATACGGGGGAATTCAGATCCAAAAGAGCATACTTGCAAGCGCATTCGATGAATTCCGTCAACGAAATCGCGTCCATTGCCCGCTATTGTCGCCCACGTTTTCCGAAGGGCGACCACTGCCCGCGCTATTGTATCTCCACGACAATGAACTGATGAGCTGGTATTGTCGTGTTCGTTCAACTCTGTATCGCATTCGAAAGAGTGACGTGGAGCGAGAAAGAGAGGAAATCGCGGCGTCGCGTTTGAATTTTTAATGATGGGTTGGCTCCAAGTCTCGAGCAGTGGGTTCAAAGTACTCGCTTCGCTATATCCAGCGCTATCCATATCCATAATCCCGCAGGATTAACCGAGGAGACTAGAGCGGACGAGTATTTTACTAAATCTCGCGAACGAGATACCGCGAGATATTGTGCCTTTCGCAATTTTCTTCGGAAAAAGCGAAAAGACTCGAGTCTGCCAATAAAATGGCAAATAAAGTGAGGAGAGTATACCTCGCGAGAAAGCAATTATACCGAAGCCCGATGACTTTTACTATGGGACGCGCGAGACGGCTATTGTAGCGGCTCTCGCGACAACATCTGCAGAAGAACAAGAACCTGTAATTACTGCAACTCTGCTGCTTTTTCCAGAGAGGTTGAAACGGAAACAGAACTTCAAGTGCTGTCTCAGCGCTTCACTCTATTGTATTTGAAAAATTATTTAACATTTAAAGAGAATGTTTCGTACTCGTAGATTTTTCATTCCTTTTGCTTTGTATATTTGACGGTTGATATGTCAAACTTTCGTTTAAAGATGTTTTGTACCTATTTTCAAAATATTGACAATTTAATGAAAATTGTACAGAATGTCCTTACATATGTTTAGAATCTTCGGTACAATTTTTAAATCGATTTACTAAAGCGTTCACAAGTTATAAGGATTTTAATTTGCACCGAATTAATATGTGTTCTCATGGGAAACGTATAACCACGTCGATTCAAATGACAAAAACACATGGAAATAATATTCAGAATTTGTTTAAAATTTGCAAAAGTTTAGATAGAGAGAAAATATTTGGTCAAATAATATTATACAAGAACTGGTTAAAAAGATATTAAATATAATTCAATAAAGTTAGCCATGTATCTGTCACAAGGTGAAATTCTCTGCCAAAAGTTAATCATTTCGATTAACAAAATTCGGAATATTTCCGTAAAAACGCAATAAATATTAAAAAATACATCTCTCCACTGTAGCTCAGATCAAATTATAATATTCCACGCAATTTCTCATACTCAAAATACCCCAAAAATGGATATATTCGTTAATATTGATTTTCGACTACTTTTTGCTGGGATTGTACATACAAAACATCCTTAAACAATGTTCCCTGAATTTTTAGGATCACGCGGGATCGCTAGAAATTCATTTTTCTTATGCCTTATTTCCTTTGAGACGGATCGAAGGGTCGACGCGAGGAGCGAAATGCTCCTCGATCCCTTTTTCTCTTTTTCTCGCGAATGAATTTTATATATTCGAGATTTTCCGCGCGATTACCCGAAGAATTTCTTTTTCTACGCATAATTACCCGTCGTTGCCTGGCGCGATGTCACGTTGATGCGATCGCAATTTTACAGTGAGAAAATATTAAAACTGTGTAGAATGGAAGAGAAGCGCTAATTTATCACATCGCTTTCAAAATGACATGAAGATAAAAAAAAATAAAAACGTTCCGGAAAACAAATTATAAAACTGCGTTTGCAACATTAACGCTCGGTATGATAATGTCGCCTTCATAATACGGATGCACGCTTCACTTTTAGATTAAATATCGTACGCGTACATTCGAAAATATGCGAGAATCTCGTATTTTTTTTGTCATTTTTCAAAGATACACGGAATACGATATTTACAGCGCGTTTCGAAATTTTATTTTTCGAAAAAACTTTCATCAGGAATTTTTTTACGACCCAACTGTACCGAAAATTGAACGTCGCAGTCGCACAAATTTCATAAGGACTACATATTAGCGTAGTCATAAAGTACGGGAAACAGAAAATTGCTAGGATTCATAATGGAGAATTATTCGTTGGAGCTTTGATCAAACGATTCTGTCGCTTGTCTCGTTGAAAGCAGACCATCATGGGTCCAAGGACGATGGTTAATGGACGCCGTACAAAGGTTTGTCCGAAAACCGCAACATGGGGGATTACAGTACTCGCGAATACTGTATACAGTATACAGAGAAAGGAAAAGAGAGAGGAAAAGGCATTTTTCCGAATGCACAGATGCGTTTTGCACCAAGTAAATAAATAAGCATAATTTTGCAGACGCGAACCGGGACGCGTTCGCGATTTAGAATTTATTACGCCACAAAGGGATTAGCGATATCGAATAATGATTTACACATTTTCACAAAAGAGTCGTAATTCACACGTAAACTTATGTAAATTTAATGGAGCCAGGCGGAATAATCGTTTTCGATTAAATGCGAAAATAACTTGTTTTTTTAAATAAATAATTTTAGCACGTGTGATAACGTTCGAAATATTTATTATTTTTGACGATTTTGTGTTAACTTTATCATTAAATGATTATCGCGTTGTTTGTCTACTTGTAATGTTTTCGACAATCTCGTTTAATGTCGCGTGAAAATATCGATATATCATGTTATTTTAATTAATCAAGTTAATTACCCTCTCTGTGCAGCATAAAATTATTTCTTCGATAGATTTCGATAATATAAGAGAAAACGATAGTAAACGATAGGTCTGACAAAGAACTCGTTACATCACTAGCAATAGAATCGGCCACGGCTGAGCATAGAAGTACTCTTACTACTTACGATACTTGCGCGAATGCACTTCGACTAAGTATCATAAAAAATACCCTTAAATGTTTCCATTATCGCAAACTCTCGAAATGTTGGAGTGCTTGTGCGGTTAATCTTGCGTTTTATCGTGATATGAAAAATCCGATTATAAAAAAAATATTATTAAATTATTTCGCTAAAGATCGGCTCGGTTATTTTATTCATCAACATATGATTGTTTTATAATAAGACAATTATAATAAATATATCGCGCGACAAGCCAATAATCTCGAGTAAATGAAACGTCGTATGTATAAATTCACACAAATACGTTGCCGTCATGAGATAATGTCAGAAAAATTCATAAAAAACAATATTTTGTCGCGCAGATTTGAGCGAACGCCAGCGGCGTGCAAATTGCGAGGATAAACCTCGAAGGATCGAAATGCTTTATAACACCATAAACAAAGCCTCCTTCGCGATTCTCCCGCGTCAGGCGAGCTTTTTACACTCCCTCGGCATCGTAAATCCTCGCTCGCGCATTAACGGGCAACGTGAAAGCACGTTGAGAAGAGCTTTGCACGAGCGAATACCTCGTATTCGCCCCCAACGTTTCCGCTGTTTATATCGTCTTACGCTTTTCTCTTATGCCCGATAATTTTATACAATAATTCCCTCTTACACTCCTCCCCTCTTACTCTCTTCCGCATCTGCAACAGCCGTTTATTCGCAGCTGCATTATTGCATGAGAGAGATGGAGAGAGATCCATTATACGGCAATATATTTAAAATAGTCTCGCTATAAAGCAATCGTAAATGTGTTGAAAGAAAATCCAATACGATTGAAATGCGCTTGCATTTTATCTTTAGATTATTAGCTTAACAAGCAATTCTTTCTATTTTAAGATAGCATCATTAGATTTATTATTAGATTATTACTGTATTCTAGTGTCGTATTTGATTTAAAAAATTACGGTGACAAATCATAGATAAGCATGTACTTTCGACGTAACGAAAGATTGCCTACGATCGCGAAGTGAGGCTTCTTTATTGGAAAATTGTAGAATCGCAATTTTACACCCGCGAAATATTTCACGATTAATTAATTTACCTTCAAGGGCGGCCTCGTTGGATCTTTTCGCAGTTCGGCGAAACGCGCTTCGAAGCTGTCGTCCCAATATTCTCGACTCCGCATCCATGAGGGCTGCAACAGAAAGGTAAACAACCGTGAGAAATTTCGTATTACACAGCCGGATATTACTGCGCGGCTAATAAAATAAAAGCTGCGAGGACGTAATTTCGTTCCCCGTACATAACAAAAGTAAAATAAGATAAAGTAATGTACGTTGTACATATATATGTGTGTGTGTGTATTGTGTATATGTTGTTGCATTTTCGTTCAGCGAAGTTAGAAGTTGATGAATGTTGGCAATTTTGTGAGAACAAATTAAGGATGTTTTGTACCTATTTTCAAAATATTGACAATTTAATGAAAATTGCAGAATGTCCTTACATATCTTTAGAATTTCCAGTACAATTTTTAAATCGATTCACTAAAGCGTTCACAAGTTATAAGGATTTTAATTTGCACCGAATTAACATGTGTTCTCATGGGAAACGTATAACCACGTCGATTCAAATGACAAAAACACATGGAAATAATATTCAGAATTTGTTTAAAATTTGCAAAAGTGTAGTTTAAATACAGAGGAAATATTTGGTCAAATAATATTATACAAGTACTACCTGATTAAAAAGATATTAAATATAATTCAATGAAGTTAGCCATGTATCTGTCACAAGGGGAAATTATCTGCCACAAGTTAATCATTTCGATTAACAAAATTTGGAATATTTCAATAAAAACGCAATAAATATTAAAAAATACATCTCTGCACTGTAGCTAAAATCAAATTGTAATATTCCACACAATTTCTTACTCAAAATACACCAAAAGATATATTCGTCAATATTGATTTTTAGCTACTTTTTGCTGGGATTATACATACAAAACATCCTAACTAGTTTCTCTCGTTTTTAATTTAACTTGGTTTCGCGTGTTTATAAATATTGCAAAAGCTTATAAACTTTACAAACATATATCCTATGTTTAATTTCTTTAGAATTTGTGTTCAATTATCGCGTTCGTTGCGTTTTGCAGCCTTATTTGACAGATGTCAATCTTATCGTTCCACGCTTCATTTTGCGAACACTTTATCCTTGAATGATTAAATATATTGTACAAGTGCGAATCTCTATTTGGGACTTCCGTCTTTTTTCCGCAACGTTGCGTGCGTCGTTCCTTTTTATCGCCTCGTGTTAATAACAGCTTTATCGTGGTAATAGTTTTGACGCGATACCTTGTCGATAAGGTAAACGCACGTAGCGAAATCACGATGACATCGATGTTGACTTTACACGAAAGCTTTCGCTTTCGCCATCGAGATTCCGCGAAAATGTAAGCAAAAATTCCCCAGGAAAAACAAGCAAAAGAAAACATTCCCCTTACTTTACAAGATTTTTCTAAATTAGAAGATTTTTCAAAGTTCAAAGTACATAACACAAAAATACTATGGCATTTAACATTTTTATAAGAAAGAGAGTTCTACGATAAAATCTTAAATTATTCCGAACGAAACTTTTATTTGTCGCCCAAAGGTTCATCTTTCTTAACGTTAAATATCTCGATACTTGAAACAATAATCATTTTTCATCATTTTTCTATGATTTTGACAGAATTTATCTAAATTGGATTTTAATTTAAACATGAAAAATGATTATTGTTTCAAGTATCGAGATATTTAACGTTAAGAAAAATGATTATTGTTTCAAGTATCGAGATATTTAACGTTAAGAAAGATGAACCTTTGGGCGACAAATAAAAGTTTCGTTCGGAATAATTTAAGATTTTATCGTAGAACTCTCTTTCTTATAAAAATGTTAAATGCCATAGTTTTTTGCGACATTTTATACAAAAGATAATAATACCTCGCCTGAATAATCGTCAAGGATCGGGGGGAGGGGAGGGGAGGGGGGGAAGGCGCGAGTTCACGCTCGAAGATGGGAAGTAATGAAGTAGAGCGAAATTGGAATTCGCGAGGAATCTGATCCCGTCGATTCTAAACATCGATTACGCAAGTCCGAACACGCCGCGCATTGGTACCGGCACCACGAAATTCGAAGACTTCCGGTTCTGGCGCACCGCGTGACCGCAGAAAATTCGGAGCGAGAGAGCGATATAATTTCCATCGACCCGTCAAATTTCGATGCTGCCGCTTCTAGCTACATTCCTATCAATCAGAATAATATTTTAACAAACGAAATTATTTCAAAGCGATCGCAAATGCTCGAATATGCAGTGGTAAAATTGAATCCTGCATGTGAAATATTTAATTATGCATTTCTTTTTTTCTCTTTCAATAGCGTTTGTAATACGAGATACGAGATAAATTGAGCTTGTTTTAAATCGAATATGAAATAAATTATAATTGAAGAGCAATAAATATTATAAAAATTTAAGTATTAGAAAAATTAGTCATGTAATTCGTAAAAATCAAAATCTCAGTGCAAATTATTCAAAATAAATTACTATCAAATATATGTATTTTTTGCAAAGTACAAGCAGCATAGAAAGAAAAATTATCGAAAATAATTATTATACCAAAGTATCTTAATTCTTTAATTAAAATATTGTTTAAAATACTTGGAGATAAATAATGATAATCTACAATTTTGCTCATCTTTCTATCAAACAATTTATATGTATACATTTTTTTATTTTCTAATTAAAAAAAGTTTGAAAAACTAATATGTTGATTAAAAAATCTATTAAAGAAATTTTTAAGATTACTAAGAATATTAGAAATGCAATAATATTTGAGTATTATTAATTATAATTTATTATTCTTAATTATTATAACATTTTTTCAAACAATGTTTTATTGTTGAGAAAAAATGCAACACAATGACACGATTACTGCATATTAAAAGAAATTAAAAGCGAGCAGCTGGAAAAATGTTTTAATTTCTATCAACAGCAAGCCACCAGCGAATTAATCATCATAAATCCAGGATCGACGGCGGAGATAAAGCCGAGTCAAAATTAAATCCCAAGCGAAGAGCTCGTCCATCGAGCCCAACGGACTACCCATCGAGATATATCCTCCTTCTAAAGATCTTCTTCCACGGAGCTCTTTCCGATTATCCGACGATCGGTCGAGCTTTCTTGTAACAGAGCTTATCCCGTCGACGTTAATTAAACATCGAAAAGCTTCGCTCCCTAATCCAACCGGGAAATTTTCTTTCACCTGAGATTATTATTTAGGGAGAGAAGGAATATTTTCTCCGAATTTTCTCTCCGATTTTTATCTGTCTGCTCTTCCTTGATCGGATAAAAATGCTTTTTCTCTCTTTTGCCGGTTAGGATTTGTAAACATTTAGATAACGAATTCAATTTTTTAGTAGAAAAATAATTTGCGCCCTAGATAATCAAGTTATCGATTAAATATATATTATTAATATGACAATTTTATATATTTTCCAATTCATGACCGATAGCGAATATGTTTCTAAAGAAATTATCAGAATTTCGCTTTAAAATAAAGAGAACATTTAATATATCTTTTAAACATACACAATATAAATAGTTGATACACATTATCAAATATACGTATAAACATATTATTATTCACAAATAACTCAAGTTGAATACAAAACTTTGTACGTAATACTTTACAAAATTTGGATACGGGAGTATTTTATAGATTTTCCATCTTTTAATCTTTTAAAACACCGATTTTAACGAAACAGCGATGACGCGTTTGTCAATCGCGAGAGAAAACATTCTTTTATTCCAATTGTGTATTAACTATCCCCATCCGGCTTCCTTCCGCTACACCTTCCGGTAGCGAATGAAGATGAAGCATTTTACGTAGTGTCCCAGAAGAGAAGGATATTTCCTCGGAGGATCGGAGGAGAGAGCGATCTTGAAGAGATGGCCGGGAAGAGGAGGAAGGACGAAAACGAACGGACGGATCTTGGAGGGATATCGAAGTAACGCTATTTTATCGACACAAATCCCACAGGAGACTCCTCTTGGGCAACTGCGTACGGTTTTACAAGAGCACTTTAAGCTGATTATTCGTCTAAGATGCCGATTGCCTTTTCATTATCACGCGACTTATTTGAATCTTGATAATAACACGAATTTTACCGAGCAATCAAGCGAATGATAATCTAGTTTAAAATCCTTTAATATTTGCACATTAATCTCTCATTTCTGGTCGTACTTTAAAGAATAAATTGTTTGATCTAATTATCATAATTTTTTTTCAAAACATTTTTATCTTCCATTTTCATGAATAATACTACTTTATTAAATTAACAATTAATATGTTCCCTAACAATACATGCATATTTTGACACAAATTAGCGATCACAGAATAGAGAGATAAATGTTTATCTTTGCATTCGACTCTATTCAGTCTTTTAAAGATTGGCAAACATTCCAAAGAACATTATTCCGCGCTCCGTTGATAGTTCGATGGCCTAAAGCTCAAGCTTCATTAGTTTCTGTCCATGTTAGGGCATGCTAATGTGTGCGTGGACGTGTATAGCGTGGTGCCGAAGTTAACGGCTGCACGGACGATGTACGATTCGCGAGTTTCACGCGAAATCTACCATAGCGCTTCACAGGCCACGAATGGGAAAGCCCGGAATAAGTTTACGAGATTGACGTTCACAGATACTCGGCGATCGATTCGCGGCGCTTCGCCGACAATCTATACTCGAAGTCGAAGCGACGAACGAGATTCGGGCAACGTGTGCAGTGATGAATTATAACAAGCGTATAAAGCCTTCAGTCGAGCTTTTGGAATTTGCACAAGTTTGCAAAATACGAAAGATTTGAGTTTTGACTGTACTGAGAAAAAAATCTTGCAATAATTAGAATCCAGATTATTGAATAAATTATTTTAAATTCAATTTGTTAGAAATTAAATTGATAAACAGTGATGCAAGAAGAGGATGCAGCTCAAACACACGCAATCAGAGAGCTAGCGTTCTCTTTCTGGCACTACTGCTCGTAAGAGAAAAAAAAAATATACTTTGGATTTAACGTTAATACTAGTTTTTTATATACATTTCATGGCAAATATTGAATACGAGTTAAGTTAAGAGTGGCAAGCAAAGAAATTAATGTAACAA